ACGGCGGCGGCAGCTCCAAACGGCGGCAGCAGCTCCACTTCCGTGTTTGGAGCTGCCTCTGCCGTTTGGAGCCGCCACCGCCATTTGGAGTGCCGCTGTCACGTTTGGAGCTGCCGCTTCCGTGTTTGGAGCTGCCGCCGTGTTTGGAGTGGCGGTGGTGCTCCAAACAGCGGCAGTGCTCCAAATGCGGCACTCCAAATGGCGGTGGCGGCTCCAAACGGCAGAGGCAAGAGGCAGCTCCAAACGGCAGAGGCAGCTCCAAATGGCGGCGGCAGCTCCAACGGCACTCCAAACGGCAGCGGAATGGGCAGAAGGGAAAGCAACAGCGGCAGGTTGCAAAGGTCTTGGGTCTGCAGCAAAGGTGTTTGGTGGGAGTAGGGAGCTCTCTGCGCTTCACCATGATCGCCCGTTAGGAGCGGCTGGTGGCGAGGCTGCCCGCGGGGCGCTCTAGATGAGGATGAAAGGGGGGAAATTAAGTTACCCCCGAAAAGACGGCCTAGCCGTTTTTTCGGGGCTCAAAAAAAAATAAGGCCCGGCCTTATTATGTGAGAAACACGGTATTAAGTAAAGTTTACAATACCTGTAGTTTCTTCCAATGTTACAAGCAAAAACACAAGCAGCAGTTCAGGAGCTCATAAATCAGTTTCTGTTTCACTTTAGAGCAGAAAGTACAGAGCTAAACCACGCTCAGACTCTCTAAGTTTCAGCCCCCAATTGAGCTCCCATTGGCTGACCTTGTTAACTGTGTCTCTGGCAGTTCATGAATATTCTGACATGTTCACGTCAGCTATAGCAGCTGTCCCCAACCTTTTCAACTCTGTGGACTAGCAGTGACTGCGGGGAGAGGGGATTGTTTTGTGTGCACACATCGCTTGTGCAGCCTCGTTCCCAAAGGGCCGCAGACCTGTGCCAGTCTGTGGACCAGCGGTTGGGGGCTCCTGAGCTATATAGCATATGAACACTGAACCTGAACACTTTTAATAATGGGGCACGGTGGTGATTAATTATGCAACTAAGGATAGCTTAATTTAGCACAAAGCTAAAAATGGACTTGATTTCTATTGGTGCAAACAAGAGCAAGAACACACTGATTTGATTTGCCTATTGTAGTCAAAGAAGTAAAGGGACATCATTCAGTAACCTTGCTAAAACCAATACTAGACAGTTCCATGATAGAAAGAAATAAAAGTACTATTAATCTTATGCCATGTACTATACATCTAAACAAGTATTAACTACTAAGGAAAACATTTCAAATTTGATATATATATACGATATATATCGCTGGAAACATTTGAATGGCACTGTTGAGTTGTCAAAATGCCAACTTGGTGCTCTTCCAGTTTGGCCAGAATAGATGTTCTACGTTTGGGGCAGGGTGTGTTTCAAATTCAAAATGTTTGTTATGTCACAAACTATAGACTATAATCTTTATAACCAAACTTGATATAAAAGATGAAGATTGTTAATACTAGTTGCACTTTTCATTTCAAAGCTAGACAATTTTGTAAAATATTGTGATTTGTATGGTACATAACCTAGAAAGCTTGAAAAACAGACTATATAAATATTATCAAGCTTATTAAAGCGATCTTACTTGTCAGATTAGGCTAAGGGATGCAACATACCAAATTTCTTGTTTGAAAGAAACAAAACTGAGTCCAATTATAGGATGATAAAGACTTGAGAGACTTCTAGGTTAACATACTGTGCTTGTTGTAATCTTTCATGTATCCTCTGAGCTGTCTAGAGTTGACTGAGTGCTGCAGTGTTCTAGAGAGTAGATAGAATTCTTCAGGACCCTGTTTCCTTTAAAACAGACAGGCGTCTTTATTCAAATCCTGTCTGAAAGGCAGGAAGAATTCTCATTTTCTTTATTATGTCACTAATTTACTATATTGAAACAGATTTTTTTTACATAATTTCAGAAACACCTCAAAATATTCAGTACTCTATCACAGGGGTCCCTGACCATGTGTGTGGGCTTGACCACGACTCACTCGGAACCATCCACCACCACCCCCGGGCCGCAAAGCTGGAAAAGTTGGATAACTCTGCTCTATCCAATATTTAAGTCAAATATTCTGCAGTAGGCAGTACTACTGTTATGATTTTATGGTCATTCTTCTTATCGAGAGAGTTAGCATTCTCTTGACGAAGAGTTAATGTCAACAGAAGGGTTTTTTCAACACTGGAGGCGTTGGAAAGTCACGCTGTTTCTGAAGATAGTTCATGAAGTTTTTCGGGAGATATTTCTTGTTGCTTCTCAGTTGAAAATACTATACTCAGAACAAAAAAAAATAGTGCCTATGTGGCAATAATAATGGTTGTGTAAATGGCAATAAAAACAAAAAAAGGTCCTACCTTGGAATGTATTTGATGTTAATACATGACCTTATTCAGATTCCCATCCCCCCAAAGATGCCCTTTCCAGACCAAAGTATTATATATTGTTTATTTTACATAGGAAGGCAAAAGTTTAATTTTAAAATGATGCCTAAGGCATGATAGCACTTAGCACTAGCACTTAGACTTATATATCACTTCACAGTGCTTTACAGCCCTCTCTAAGCCAATGGTGTCAAACTCAAGGCCCATGGGATGCTTAGATCTGGCCCACCAGAAACAGCAAAGGGCCACCACAGGAGCCCCCAACACAAATGATGTTGAGCTGGTCATGTTCATTCTGGCCCCTGGGGAGAAACACAACCCTGATGTCGCCTCAATGAAATCAAGTTTGATACCCCCTGCTCTAAGCGGGTTACAGAGTCAGCATATTGCCACCAACAATCTGAGTCCTCATTTTACCGACCTCAGAAGGATGGAAGGCTGAGTCAATTTTGAGCCTGGTGAGATTCAATCTGCCAAATTGCACGCAATCAGCAGAAGTAGCCTGAAGTACTGCATTCTAACCATTGCACCACCGATATAAGAAGTTAGCCTTTGGAACATCAGCACTACTAGAGGAATAATATGACAAAGAACATTTTAGAGCCTTTATTTATAATGAAAAGATTCTACAGACATATTCTCCCCTTTTCCCCCTACCATCACTGCATGCCAGGTTTCTGTCCAATAGAAAAATAAAGAGGCAGACACCTGCCTAGATGAACAAATTGCTTTACAAAATGTATAATTTACAGCAGTAAACCTATATTTACTAAAAAATAAAAACAAAGTTTAAAGAACAGATTTTAAAAGGAAACAGCTTCTTACAACTTCCAGGATAGAAGGATGATCCAAAATTAGACAAGGCATACTAACAGAATAAAACAGAGT